GTAGCTTATTGTCACTCGTGTTATGGAGAGGGTTATTGATGTTACGGTTTGTTCGATCGGACTTGCGGCGTACTGTAACTATCGTTTCAAGGGATCCTACAGTCCAGAGGAAATTGAAAGCATGAATCGCGACATCTCTGTTATGAAGGGACAAGTTGAAGATCTCATCAAGCATGAAAGGACGAAATCTCTGCGTTGAAATCTGATCTCAAATGTTTGTGAGATTCTGCTTGGATATGTTGCAAAGGATTGTTAAGTTTTTGCAAAGGATTGTTAAGATTTTGCTTGTCTAGTTTTAATGGTAAGTTTGGAAACTTCAAATTTTTATTGGATTTCAGTCATAAATCGATTGTTAATCACTAGATCTATCATATTTAGAAGTAAAAAAAACAAAAACAGCAAGAAAATAATCATGGAGACGGCGATAGGGTTTTTAGAGTTGGATAGCTCTTGTGGAGAAGACGGGGGTAGAAAGGTCATTTTATAGTTATCAATGCGAAATGGTAAAACCAAAAAACATTTAGAACACGTCCAAGATATCTCGAACACATGAGCCTTAGGCCATCCTTAACCATGACACTCTTAGAGTGTCTTTAAATAAACAAATATTAAAAACACTATCTCTTTTCTTTTTACTCAATTTTATACCTTCTCTTTCATCTTTTTTTTCAATTTTATATCTTCTCTTTCATCTTTTACTCAACTTTTATTAATTTTATATTTAAACACACCTAAAAACACCCATCAAAATGTCTTCCTATAGACACCCTCTCTCCAAAAATATCCACTATCTTCTCTCTTTACTCAAATTTTATTAATTTTATATTTCAATACACCTCATTATTTCAACCAAAAACACTCTCTTTCTTCCTTTTACTCAAATTTTAATAATTTTATATTTAAAGACACCCAAAATATGTCACCATTAGACATACCTAAGCCACTGAACTACGGAATATTTCACATTCGTCTCTCCAAATTTAATATAAACCAACTTTTATTTTAAAATTACAAAAACCAGTCCCCGATTCATGTGCAGTGCACCCAGTCAAAAATAATTCTAGACTAGATGATATCAAGGCTTTAGGGTCAATTTGTTCAATAACCCAAAAAAATTAATTATTAACTAAGTAACCAAAATTGGTATATGTGGCCAAATAATGATCATTAGATTTAGAGCATTTATTAGAGATTTATATATAATTTTTTTATGGTTATTATGCCAATTACCCTTATTCTAATTGGCCAAGACTTTCGGTGAAACTTTAAAGGACAAAAATAATAACACAAATCTCAGCAAATGCAAATCATCAGTCATAAGATAACAAACTAGCTTGTTTGGTGAATGAAAGATCAACTTTGACATAATTGATTAATAAAATTAAAAACCGAGTACTTTTACATATTAGGTCCTTGAAAGACCACACTGGAACTTGGTAAGAGACTTGGCAGGCACTCTAGTCAGTATGTCGAGCTTTAGATCAAGTGGGAGCGAATCTAACTTATTTTGGTTTGTGTCCTTGAGGAGCTTCTTTTGGTGGCGCTTTATCACATGCAATCTTGTCATCTTAGATCAACAGGGATCGAATCAACTTACTTTCTTTGCTACCAAGTCTTTTTGTTGATTGGCCAATAAGTTTAGTAACTTCTTCTGTGTTAAAGTGAACCTCTCCTTTTTCAGTTGTGTACAAGCAATCAAAGTAAAACTTTGAAAAGTTAAAAGTGTTATATTTAGAGTGATTTTGTGACTATACATGTAATAATAAAGAAAACATATTAAGTCACGTTTTGCACCAAATCTCTTTTTTAATTAACTAATAAAGTTTTGACGCGTGACATTATCCTTGTCTATACTTATCTAAATGAATTAAAATGAAAAAAAAAAAAGGACTAAGACGAAAACTTGTAAATTCATTCTTGCTTTATATCAAACCTATGAGCTAATTGTCCAACAGTTTTAGCAAGTTTTAATGTGTGGAATTAAACTTTATCTTTTTTGGTTTTTAGATGTAAATATTAAATTGCAAAAGAACGCCTTAAAACTTAGAAGACTCAACAAGTTAAACTATAGTCACATACTTAGAGCTTTCGTAATAAACTAAACTTCTTCTCAGTGTCTGATATTTTCTATAAATTTCACATTTGTGTTTTTTGCATCCACCAGCTAAATATTCTTAGAAAAAAGAACAAGAAGAAAACAATGGAGAAAATACAAAAAATGAAGAACTTTAGCGTAGAAGTTCCTGAAGAGCTACAAAGACAGATTTTGTCATGGATGCCTCTGAAATGTTTGCTGAAGTTCATGTGCGTCTCAAAGAACTGGGCATCTATAATCCGCGACAAGCATTTCGAAGATCTTTACTTGGCCCATTCGAAGACAAGGCCTCGAGTGTTGTTCGCATTTTGTCGAAAATTATTTGACCCAACCAAAGATTTGTTATTTCACTCAGTTTACCAAGAGGAGAAACTATTGTTGTCTGATCAACAACACATGCGTATTTCTAATCATATTCTACATGAGATTTCTACACCCGTCCGAGGTTTGATATGTCTTCAATCAGGATCTAAGATCGTGGTTTGCAACCCGGGTACGAGAAAGTTTCGGACTTTACCGGAAATTCCAGATGCTATATTAATCTATGGAAGTTTTCTTGGATACGATGAAGTTACGAAAGTATTCAAGGTGTTATGCACGACTTTTACATCTTTTACTACATATGAAGTTAGACATCAAGCTTTGACGTTGGGATCAGGTGAAGAATCTTGGAGAACGATCATGTGCGACATCATCATACTCCAGCTACTAGTGGACTATGGAAAGGAGAAGTTTTGTACTATGGAGCTAGGTCCAAGACTAGTGACAAGTCTCTAGTAGTGAGCTTCAACGTTAGGTCTGAAGAGTTTACTGTTATTGATTTACCTCAGGGGTTCAGTATTGGGCCTGTTGCTAAATTGGTGAACGTTAATGGGGATGTAGTCTTAGTGAATGACTCGGTGTATGACAAAGGAGTAATTCCTACGTTGGTTTTTAATGAAATTGATAGAGTATGGTGGAAAGGACTTATTGTGATTCCTGGTTGGAGAGAAACTGTGGGTGATATGAGGTTTTGCTTCGCAGGTATCATTGGAACAAACGATCTTGTTTTTGGACTAAAAGGGTTGCTTAATGATGGATCACACCTTGTGGTGTATTACAATACATTCACACAAAAATTCGAAATGAGTAAAACCGAAGGAGGGGCTGGTGGTTCGTATCATTTTGCTCGGATATTCTTGGATCATGTTGATAGTCTTTCGCTTCCGTAAGGAACAAATAATAGTGAGTCCATTGATATTTCAGAAACTGGTTGGTTATTCAGTTTTTCAAATAATATATAGTAAGTCTTATTGGGAATGTTTGTGTCATTCCAGTCTTTCAAGTAGTACTAGTAGTCTTATTGGGTTTGTTCGCTATTATTTCTACTGTCGTTATCTTTGTTTTATGGTAGACAAGAATGTTATATGAAAATTTATTCGGTTTAAGTAGTACTACATACATGTATGTGATGGAAAATGCTTAAGCTTTTTCACCATTAGAAACTTGAGAAAAATAAATAA